ACTTGTATTAATATCACTATTACTATTACTACTACTTTTACTACTACTACTACTACTACGCCTATTACTACTACTACTACTACTACTACTACGACTACGACTACTAGTACTACTACTATTACTACCACCACTACTACTACTACTACTACTACTGCTACTACTACTACTACTACTACTAGTATTACTATCACTATTACTACTACTACTTGTATTAATATCACTATTACTATTACTATTACTATTACTATTACTATTACTATTACTATTACTATTAGTATTATTATTACTATTACGATTACCATTACTATTACCACTACTACTACCACTACTTCTACTACTACTACTACTACTACTACGATCACTACTACTACTACGATCACTACTACTACTACTACTTCTTCTTCTTCTATTACTACTCGTACTACTACTACTACTATTACTACTACTACTACTACGACTGCTACTACTACTATTATCATTACTACTACTACTACGCCTACTACTACTACTACTACTACTACTACTACTACTACTACTACTACTACTACTATGTGTGTCGCCTCCCCAGGGGCGACGCGGGCACCAAGAAATCTTGTAGTACATGCGTCGTGGCGGGCGCTTTCTGGTCACACCGCTCAGAATCCGATATGCTACAAGATGGGTGTACCGGATGTTCGGGTCGGGCGCGCGCCTCCAAGGAGGGCACTTAGTATTATTATTGAGTCGGGCATGTTCCTCTACAGGAAGAATATGTGAAAGTAGCCCGGAAACCGTATGGGAAAGTGATTGTTGGTTCTTGTCGGACTACTCTTAAGTACCGTTTGACTATTTATCACTTCTCCCCTAAATCCGCCCGTAGAGGGACACGACGGGCCTAATATTATTGGCCCGAAAAGCATTTCCTGTAAGAGTACACGCCTGTTTCGCTTCCTTGAGAAACTTCGGAAAAGCTGGCCCAGCTTTCTTTTAATTGATCATTTAAATCATTTTTTGACTAGCATGTCTCTGTGCGCTCCACCCATTGTTGGACTGTTCTTGAGCACCTTTCGACTATTTTCCATCGTTCGCGCAACATCCGCCCGTAGAGGGACACGCCCAGCCTAAGACTGGCATGTCTTTGTGCGCCCCTCCGACAGAGAAGCGAGGCGCTCCCCTCCGCCTCCAGCCGGCGAGGCGGAGCTGAAGCACCTGGAGGGTTTCCTGCGGGAGGCGCCGGGGGCCGGCGGGCGAGCGGCGGGCCGCCGCCGCGGCCTCCTCCTCCTCCTCCTCCTCCTTCTCCTCCTCCTCCTCCTCCTCCTCCTCCTCCTCTTCCTCCCGCTCCCTTGCCTGAAGGCGGGCATGTCTCTGCACAGGAGGGAACTCCAAAATGGTGGAAAGAAGTCAGCGGGCGATTTTTCTACTATTTTTCAGCAGTTTCGAACATTGTAGTGGCTTTTGGCCAGGGCCGCCGAGCAGGGGGGTTCCGGATTCGGTGATCTTCGCGGCTTTGTGGCCTCCTCCTTCCTCGATTCTTGCGGTGCCTGGAGCGGTCTCTGGGGGTGTCCGGGGAGGGTTCCGTGGGGAGGGTCCTGGGGGCGGTAGCGGCTAGATCGGATTTCGAATACTTGTTTGTCAGTTTTTGTTTTTTTCGTTAAAAGCACGCCTGCAGGAGGACATGCCCGACCTAGCCCGTGCCGCCGATGCCGGCACATGTGCGCGCCGGTCGCTGATTTTTGTGTTTGTGTGTATATCTATATCTATATCTATATCTATATATATATATATATATCTATATCTATATCTATATCTATATCTATATCTATATCTATATCTATATATACGTTGCCCCGGCAACCAGGGTTCCCCGTTCGACCCGGCGCCGAAGACGCTATTTGAAGACGTTATTCCGTGTGAAGACGCGTCCCTGTGAAGACGTTGTTTTGGGTGAAGACGTTATCCCCGGTGAAGACGTTATTCCTTGTGAAGACGCTACTCCGGGTGAAGACGCTATTCCTGGTGAAGACGCTATTCCCGGTGAAGACGCTACTGCCGGTGAAGACGCGATTCCTTGTGAAGACGCGTTCTACGGACACAGACAGCACTTCCCTTATGAAGACGCTATTCCCTGTGAAGACGCAATTCGGGGTGAAGACGCAATGCCGGGTGAAGACGCTATTTTGGGTGAAGACGCTATTCTCTATGAAGATGCTATTCCGGGTGGAGACGCCATTCCCGGTGAAGACGCGGTGAACGCTATTCCCGGTGAAGTCGCTATATTCCGGGTGAAGACGCTATTTTGGATGAAGACGCGATTCTTTGTGAGGATGCTTTTGCTCCTCACCAGGCCCAGTACTCAACGCGCTCCCCTCGCAATTGTAATTTGAAAGTGCGATTTTACTTTACGCTGTAAGACCCCTCCCCAAGTTGTTCAATCCAGAATCCTTGGTGCTAGACATGCCCCATCTGCTGTGCAACACCCTTTGTTGGGCAAGACCCCTCCGGGAGGAGCCCTCCCCAAGTTGATTCAACAAGAGTCCTTGGTGCTAGACGCGCCCCATCTGCTGCGCGGCACCCTCTGCTAGGCAGGGCACCTCTCCATGTTGATTAAACAATGAATCCCTGATGTGAGACGTGCCCAATGTGCTGTGAGGCACTCTGTACTACGCAAGACCCTTCCCCAAGTTGATTAAACATGAATCCTTGGTGCTTGATGTGCCCGATGTGCTGTGCGGCACCTTGTGCTGGGCAAGAGCCCTCCCCAAGCTGATTTAAAAAATCCTTGGTGCTAGACGTGCCCCATGTGCTGTGCGGCACCCTCTGCTAGGCAATGGTCCTCCCCAAGTTGATTACAAAAGAATCCTTGGTGCTAGACGTGTCCCATCTGCTGTGCTGCACCTTCTGCTAGGCAAGACCCACCCCCAAGTTGATTAAAGACAAATCCTTGGTGATAGGCGTGCCCCACCTGCTGTGCGTCACCTTCTGCTAGGCAAGACCCACCCCCAAGTTGATTACAAAAGAATCCTAGGTGGTAGACGTGCCCCATCTGCTGGGCGGCACCTTGTGCTAGGCAAGACCCCCCCCCAAGTTGGTGAAAACAAATCCTTGGTGCAAGACGTGCCCCATCTGCTGTGTGGCACCCTTTGTTAGGCAATGGCCCTCCCCAAGTAGATTAAAAAAGAATCCTTGGTGCTAGGCGTGCCCCATCTGTTGTGCGGCACCTTCTGCTAGGCAAGACCCCTCCCCAAGTTGGTTAAACAAGAACCCTGGGTGCTAGATGTGCCCCTTTGCTATTCGGCACCCTCTCGAAGGTGAGCTAGGCAAGACCCCTCCCCAAGTTAATGAAAACCGATTCCCCTGTGCTAGACACATGCCCTTTTGCTGTGTGGCACCCTATGCAAGGCAAGACCCCTCGCCAAGTTGATTAACAATAATCCTTGGTGTTAGACATGCCCCTTTGCTGTGCGGCACCCTCTGATAGGCAAGAGCCCTCCCCAAGTTGATCAACAAAGAATGTTTGATGCTAGGCGTGCTCCATCTGGTGTGCGGCACCTTCTGCTATGCAAGACCCCTCCCCAAGTTGATTAAACAAGAATCCTTGGTGCTAGATGTGCCCCTTTGCTGTGCGGCACCCTCTCGAAGGTGAGCCCCTTTGCTGTGCGGCAGCTTCTGCTAGGCAAGACCCCTCCCCAAGTTGATTAAGACTTAATCCCTGGTGCTAGACATGTCCTTTTGCTGCGCGGCACCCTATGCTAGGCGAGACCCCTCGCCAAGTTGATTAAACAGGAATCCTTGGTGCTAGACATGCCCCTTTGCTGTGCGGTACCCTCTGATGGGCAAGAGCCCTCCTCAAGCTGATTCACACATAGTCCTTGGTGCTAGGCGTGCCCCACCTGCTGTCCGGCACCTTCTGCTAGGCAATTCCCCTCCCCAAGTTGATTAAACAGGAATCCTTGGTGCTAGACGTGTCCCATCTGCTGTGCGGCACCTTGTGCTAGGCAAGACCCCTCCCCGTGTTGATTAAAGAAGAATTCTTGGTGTTAGGCGTGCCCCATCTGCTGTGCGGCACCCTTTGTTAGGCACTGCCCACCGGTTGGGCGTTGAAGAAGCACCAGGGTCGCTCGCAGGCAGCCTAGCTGTGCACCGCGGAGGATGAGGCTGAGGCGAAGTAGAAGCGTCCAGCCGAACAGAGGCGTCCCGAGCTTCACCAGGCGTCAGGGGAATAGAGGTGTCAGGCCGAAGAGAGGCTTCGCGAGCTTCACTGGGCGTCAGGGGAATGGAGGCTTCAGGCCGGATAGAGGCTTCACGAGCTTCAATGGGCGTCAGGGGAATAGAAGTTTCAGGCCGAATAGAGGCTTCACGAGCTTGACCAGACGTCAGGGGAATAGAGGCTTCAGGCCGAATAGAGGCTTCGCGAGCTTCAGTGGCTGTCAGGGGAATAGAGGCTTCAGGGCGAATAGAGGCTTCACGGGATTCACCGGGCATCAGGGGAATAGAGGTTTCAGGCCGGATAGAGGTTTCACGAGTTTCAATTGGCGTCAGGGAAATGGAGGCTTCTTGGCGAATAGAGGCTTCACGGGATTCAATGGGCGTCAGGGGGATAGAGGTTTCAGGCCGAATCGAGGTTTCACAAGCTTTCATGGGCGTCATGGGAATAGAGGCTTCAGGCCGAATAGAGGCTTCACGAGCTTCAATGGGCGTCAGGGGGATAGAGGCTTCATGCCGAATAGAGGCTTCACGAGCTTCAATGGGCGTCAGGGAAATAGAGGCTTTAGGCCGAATAGAGGCTTCAAGAGCTTCAATGGGCATCAGGGGAATAGAGGCTTCAGGGCGAATAGAGGCTTCACGAGCTTCAGTGGGCGTCAGGAGAATAGAGGCTTCAGGCCGAATAGAGACTTCACGAGCTTCAGTGGGCGTCAGGGGAACAGAGGCTTCAGGCCGAATCGAGGCTTCACGAGTTTCACCGGGCGTCAGGGGAATGGAGGCTTCAGGTTGGATAGAGGCTTCACGAGCTTCAATGAGCGTCAGGGGAATAGAGACTTTAGGCCGAATAGAGGCGTCTAGGGTCGCTACCCCACCAGTGCGTCGCAATTCGTAGGCCGAATAGAGGCGTCACGGGCCGAATGCAGGCTTCAGGCCGAATAGAGGCTTCACGAGCTTCGCTGGGCGTCAGCCGAATAGAGGCTTCAGGCCGAATCGAGGCGTCACGAGCTTCACCGGGCGTCCGCGGAATAGAGGCGTCACCGCATCTCCTTGGTGGGCGAAGAGAGTCTTCAAATAGCGTCTGCGGCGCCGGCTCGAACGGGGACCCCCCCGAGCCAGGCCCATGTATGTATGTATGTATATATGTATGTATGTATGTATGTATGTATGTATGTATGTATGTATGCATGCATGCATGCATGCATGCATGCATGCATGTATGTATGTATGTATGTATGTGTATATATATACATGTGTATATCGATTCCCAGATTCCAGTCTGCTTCCTATAGATGCTCGTTTGTGGGGCCTTCCTGGGGCCCAGCTCAACGGATCTGTTTTGACTCCAGTTCGGCCCCAGTCCGATTCAAGTTCGACTCAAGTTCGACTCACTTTCGATTCAGGGTGGACTTAGGTTCGATTTAGGGTCGATTCAGGGTCGACTCACATCGACGGACGTTCGACGCAGCTTCGTCGCACGAGTGGAGCGAGTATTTCCAGGATGGTCCCCAGAATGAGCATCCAATACTCTAGGCGCCTTCCTACTTCAATCATCGAGTGTTTTTTGCTTGTCCTTCCTAAGGGAATTTTCTTCCGACCGACCGGCAATTAGTTCACGAGCGCTCGGCATCCAGGATGAAGGCCAATGGCGGGCCAGAGTGACTCTCGCAGGCGTCGTCAGATAATCGCGCTCGCTGACACTTCAGCGACGCACAAACACGGGCTCGACTGCGCCGACATTGCCGCGTGAGCTCCTCGTGTAAGGTCGCGCGCAAGCGCCCCAGCTTCCAGCGTAGCGTGCCGCGCTGGCAGCCCGCGCAGTCCGCCGCGACAGGTCACTGCGTCATCTCACGTAGGACTCGTTTTGTTACCTAACAGCGAAGACTGATAGGTTTCTAGTGGGCTCAAAAGAGAGCATCTTGACTCCCCAGGGGGGTCTGGGCGGGTGCCGGGAGAAGCCGGGAATCCGGGGACTCCCCAGGACTCTTATAGATTCCTATAATTTCTTATGGAATCCTATTCTTCGTGTTCCCAGAACACCATTCCCAGGCCACGTTTTGAATGCCCAGAGCCAACTGTAGGCCACTTCGTGTTCTTCGTCTTCCCAGAACACCATTCCCAGGCCACATTTTGAATGCCCAGAGCCAACCGTAGGCCACTTCGTGTTCTTCGTGTTCCCAGAACACCATTCCCAGGCCACATTTTGAATGCCCAGAGCCAACCGTAGGCCACTTCGTGTTCTTCGTGTTCCCAGAACACCATTCCTGTACCATATTTTGATTGCCCGGAGCCAAGTGTGGGCCACTTCGTGATCTTCGTGTTCCCACAACACCAGTCCTGTGCCATATTTTGAATGCCCGAGCTGAGGCATGCTGAGGCCGAGGCAGGCTGAGGCCGAGGCAGGCTGAGGCTGAGGCTGAGGCACGCCGAGGCAGGCTGAGGCTGAGGCTGAGGCAGGCTGAGGCTGAGGCAGCTGAGGCTGAGGCTGACGCAGGCTGAGGCCGAGGCAGGCTGAGGCTGAGGCTGAGGCTGGCTGAGGCTGAGGCAGACTGAGACTGAGGCTGGGCCATTCCGTACAGGCTGAGGCGATGCAGGCAGAGGCTGAAGGCGGCGCATGAGGCTGAGGCAGCTGAGGGCTGAGCTGAAGGCGAGAGCAAGGCGGGCCTGGGGCCCAAGCCAGGCAGGCTGAGCTGAGGCTGAACTTAGGCATGCTGAGGCTGAGTCTTGGAGGGCCTGTGGCTCATGCCGAGGCACGCTGCGCCGAGCAGACTGAAGCTGAGGCTGATGCAGGCTGAGGCTGAGGCTGAGGCAGGCTGAGGCTGAGGCTGAGGCAGGCTGAGGCTGAGGCTGAGGCAGGCTGAGGCTGAGGCTGAGGCCGAGGCAGGCTGAGGCTGAGGCCGAGGCACGCCGAGGCAGGCTGAGGCTGAGGCTGAGGCTGATGATGAGGCAGGCTGAGGCTGAGACAGGCTGAGGCTGAGGCTGACGCAGGCTCAGGCCGAGGCAGGCTGAGGCGGAGGCCGAGGCAGGCTCAGGCCGAGGCAGGCTGAGGCTGAGACTGAGGCTGAGGCTGAGGCTGAGGATGAGGCCGAGGCAGGCCGAAGCTGAGACAAGGTGAGGCTGAATGGGGGGGAGGGGGAAGGCTAAGGGGGGGGGGAGGAGGGGAGGCTGAGGCAGGCTGAGGCCGAGGCAGGCTGAGGCCGAGGCAGGCTGAGGCTGAGGCTGAGGCAAGCCGAGGCAGGCTGAGGCTGAGGCTGAGGCTGAGGCAGGCTGAGGCTGAGGCTGAGGCTGATGCAGGCTGAGGCTGAGGCTGACGCAGGCTGAGGCCGAGGCAGGCTGAGGCTGAGGCTGAGGCCGAGGCATGCTGAGGCTGAGGCTGAGGCAAGCCGAGGCAGGCTGAGGCTGAGGCTGAAACTGAGGCAGGCTGAGGCATCCGTAGGAATCCATAGGAATCCTTAGGAATCCCTAGGAATCCTTAGGAATCCGTAGGCATCCTTAGGAGTCCGTAGACAGAGTTAAGCATCCTCAGGAATCCTTATGAATCATTCGGATTCCCTAGGAATCCTTAGGAATCCCTAGGAATCCCTAGGAATCAGGAGTCCTAAGGATTCCTCAGGTTTCCTAAGGATTCCTATGTATTCCTAAGGGTGCCTAAGGATGCCTTATGAATCCCTAGGAATCCCTAGGAATCCTTAGGATTCCATGGATCCTAAGGCCGTTGCCACTGCTACTGTCATTGCGAATGCGACTGCGACTGCGAGAACAGCAAAATTCTACAACTGGATTCTCACCTGAATCTTGAGGGGAATGCTTCCAGATATGCTTACACACATCGCTGTTAGGTTGCTTTGCCGGGATAATTCGTCGCTCGCCTAGCAAGTGATGACGTGCGTCGCTTTCGCCCCCTCGAGCTGAGGGGGGCCCAGACCTCCTCGCGCCGTGGTAAGACACCGCGGCGGGGGTTTCCGTCGGGGAAGTCCTGCGGCCTCGGGGGGCCCCCGCCGCGGGCATCGGGCCGCCGAGGAGCGGCCCGGGGGTGAAAGGCCGGTCCCGCGGAAGGCGGGCCCAGCCACGTGCAGGGGCGGGGCAGATGGGGAGGAGGAGGAGGAGGAGGCGGAGGAGGAGGAGGAGGAGGAGGAGGAGGAGGGTGGTAGTAGGAGGAGGCGAGAGAGAGGAGGAGTAGAGGAGAGGGTGAGGGGTAGGAGGATCTGAGAGGAGGAGGAGGAGGAGGAGGAGGAGGAGGGGGGGAGGTGGGGGGGCTTCTTGGAAGCTCCCCTGCTCCTCAGGAGGCGCGGGGCCGTGCCAGCAGACGTGAGGATCTGCAGGGCTGGCGCCCTCTAATTCAGCAGCAGCCTCCTTCCAAGAGAGGCCTCCCTCCCCTGCGCGCCGCCGAGGGGGAGCGGCCCTCCTTGGGGCCCCCGCTGCGGACGGGAGCCCGACGCGCCAAGGGGGGCTGACGGGCTCCGGGCGGCGCGCGGACAGAGCGCCCCGACGCGGCGGCGGCGGGCGAGAGGGGGCGGAGGAGGCCGTTCTCAGAGGGCGGCGGGGGGCTTCTCGGAAGCGCTCCGGCCGTCGGAGCCTCTGAGGAGGCCCGCCCCCGGCCACTGCCCGCCCCCCCCCCCCCCATCCTGGGCGCGCCGCCCAACCCGCTCTGCTTTCAGCCTTCTCGCAAACCCGAGTCCATGCGAATTTGGCCTGCGAGTTGGCGCGCTCGGTCGCCGCCGAACGCGACGCGGAACGGCGTTCCGAAAACTTGGGAAAGCCTTTCCGAACAGCGTTCATTGGACCACCCCAAACATACCACCCCCCGAACGCACTAACTGCAGCGGCCCAAAACCGCCTCGGTGAGGCTTCGGGCGGCACGCCGACAGCCCTCCCAGGCAGCCCTGGCTGGCCTCGGCAGGCCCCGCGACAGGGCGTTGAGACCCGGGGCCCCCGCGGACCATTCGTGGGGCCTGTTGGGGCTGGGGCTGCTGGCGGGGGGCCTGCTGAGGCCAGCCAGGACTGCCTGGGGGGCTGTCCGCGCGCCGCCCGAAGCCCTGCCACTCTACTTCCCCCTCCCCGCTCACGCTAGAGGGTGAGAGGCCCTCAGTACTGCCGTCGGCATGGCGCTTGCCACGCGCCGCAGGTTTTGATGTGCAGATCGCGCGGCCGCGGGCGAGGTCTCGCGGAGGCCCAGCGGGCCATCGCTGGAGCGGCCTGGCCCCCCCAACGGAAAAATCGCCAGCACGGCTGCGCTCCGCCTGCGTAGGCTTCAGTCGGGCATGTCCCCGTAAAGGAGGAGTATTTCAGCATTGTCAAAAGATAGTTGTAGGACGATTTTTTTCCTTAACATCATGTTTTAAGCAATGTTTTGTATCTTTGTTTATTTTTGATGTTCCCATCAAAATCTGCTTCTAGGAGGACATGCCCGATCTAAGCGTGGGCACGAGGTATCGGTGAGGACGGGAAGGAGGCAGGGAGAGGCAGGGAGTTAGGTTCGGAGAGGGCGGGAGGGCAGGCTGGATGGATGCATGGGTCAGTTTTCCTGCTGCTATGGCGGGCGTGTGCTCATAAGACGTCCTTCGTAGCTGCAGCCATCGCTGTGGACTGTGGTGTCCAAGCGAGGGCGAATCTTATTGCCAACGTTATGGCGAACGTGATTGATAGGGGCGAGGGAGAGGCAGCGCGGGGGGGGGACTGTCTACCCACGCCAGCCTTCCTCCCTGTGCAGTCTCTTCCCTCTCCCTGCCTGCCTCCCGCCCCCTCCGCCCCCCGTTCTCTTCCCCTCGCTTCACCTCCCACTCCCCTGTTCGTTCCCTACTTCCCCCTCCTCGACTACCCCCTTTCTCTTGCCCCTCCTCCCTTCTTTCGCCGCCGCCCTTCCCTCCTCCTTTTCAGTTGCCCAGCTTAGGGGAAGAGTGGCTGTAGCGTCAATCGAGGAACAACACGAGCAGCAATGTGCAGCCGCAGCCGCAGAGGACAACGCAGAGGGGCTCGCGAGAGATTGGAGACGCGATGCTCGCTGTGATCAGCCATCCTCCTTCCTCCTCCTCCTCCTCCTCCTCCTCCTCCTCCTCCCTCCTTCCTCCTCCTTCTTCCTCCTCCTCCTCCTCCTTGTTCTCCTCCTCCTTCTCTTCCTTCTCTTCCTTCTCCTCCTACTCCTCCTCCTCCTCTTCCTCCTCCCCCCACTTCCCGCTCTGGATCCTGACCCGCGGAGGTCCCTGGAGCTCCCCAGAGGTCCCCAGAGGCCTCTGGAGCCCTCTGGAGGCCCGTCGTGGGCCACCGTCTCCGAGAACCTCCCCCCCCTTGGCCCTCGAGGCTCGGGGGCGGACCCTAGCACCCCAGCCCTCTCCCCTTCGATGGATCTCATTTGATGTAGATCTTCGGCAGATCTCTCCATGTGCACTTCATGCCAACCTGTCTAGATCTTAAAAGCTACAAATCTAGACCTCAGTCTTTCCTGTGCGTATTTTATGCACACGCGCACATACACATCGATTCCTCCTCCTCCTCCTCCTCCGCGCGCGTGCCCGTTCTGGCCCAGAGCGGTGCGCGGCGGGCCGCGCTTCGACGCTTTCCCGAGACCGCTTGAGGCGGAGGTGTGCCGCAGGCCCTCCGAGGGGCACCGCGGGGCGATGGAGAGCTCGGGCCGCCGCAGGCTCGGGTCGGACGAAGCCCTCCTCCTCCTCCTCCTCCTCCTCCTCCTCCTCTCGCTGCTCCGGCCTCCTCCTCCTCTTCCTCCTCCTGCTCGCCTTTACGCTCGTCTCCGCCTTCTCTCCCCTCTCTTTTTTCCTCTCCTCCTCCTGCTTCCTCCTCCTGCCTCCATCCTCCTCCTCCTACTCCTCCTGCTCCCTCTTCCTCTCCTTCGCTCCTCGCCCAGATCTAGGCTCCCCTCCTCGTCCCTCCTCTTTCTTCTCCTCAACCGCCAACATCTCACCCACATCTCCCCCACCTCCTCATTCTCCTCCCCCGCAGCCCTCAATCTCAGACCCCTCCTCCTCCTCCTCCTCCTCCTCCTCCTCCTCCTCCTCCTCCTCCTCCTCCTGCTCCCTGGGAGAGGCCGACGCCGGGGGACGCTGGGAAACCCTCCGATCCTGGCGGTTGGAGCCGGCTGGGGGCCTGGGGTGGCCCAGCGCCGGCTCCAGCGAGCAGCAAGTGGGGCCCAGTGGGGGGCGAGGTTCGTGGTGCTAGGCCGCTCCTGGCCACGTGAGGCCCCGCCTTCTGCCGCCCTTTCTCTGCTAATTAAAGCTGTGCGCGTCCCGCTTAGCGTTCAGCGGAAGAGGTTCGCTCTCGCCCTGCAGATCAAAAAAATCGTGGTGCTAGGCTCGAGAGGGTCTTTTGCTTCTTCGGTCTCCGGTGGCCGTTTTCGGGCCCGGGACCGTCCACAATTCGGGTGGAGGCTGCACCAGACAGGGGGCCGATTTTTCAGAGCCGCACCCACCAGTCCAGGGGACTGCACGTAAGAGTGACCCTTTTCCGGAGTGACCCTTCGCCAGAGTGACCTTTTGCTGCGGGCTCATCGGGGCCCCCCCGACCGCTGAGCGCGAGGCGCGTCAGCGGCCACTTGCGCGCTTGGGCTTGGCCGCATTGCGCCCCCCTTAGTCCGCGCACCAGATGTCACTCCTACCCAGGGCCACCTTTGCGTGTCGTCGATTCAGACCCCCTGGCCGCCTCCAACCTGGCGTCGCTTTGTCTTTCTCGCAGCGGGCGTTCTTGCCCGGAGCCAGGCCCTGGGGCCCTCGCAGATCGACGCGGCTCGGGACGTGCGGCAGAGAGATGCGGTCCAGGACCGCAGAGGTGTCTTTTAACGATGTTGCACTTTGGTTCGCGACGTCGGCTCTCAGGTAAGGGGAGGGTCGAGGAACAACGTTAGGGGGGTATGCTCGGGGGGGGATGCATCGATCCCCAGTCGCCCATTGATTGCCGATGGGGGCCCGATGGCCCACTCCGCCCAGGAACGTGCCGTCTCGCCATGGGGGGCCTGTCACCGATAAGTTGGCGATATATTGACAATTCCAGCTCGATGTATCCCCGCTGAGCCGGTCCCCCCTACCGTTGCCCCTACATCACGTGCTCATCGTACTACCATAAGGAACGCAACATAAGACACAAGGGGCATTTTGTTGCCATGGCGAGCCTCGGCCAGGAAGAGGTTCCCCGACCTGGATCTGAGGGGCGGCTCGAAAACCAGAACCACCCATGAGCCCAAAGTGGTTCTTATTTCAGCGTATTGGCTGTAAGCTGTAAGCTTTCGGAGGTACAGGCTGATTTCTTGGGTCGACGCTGAGACCTCATCTCTGGCGCGCGGAGCGCACCAGGGGCGGCGCTGGAGGCGCCGCCGCATGGGGGGTCCAGAGCCGCGCTGGCCCAAGAAATCCATGCGGAACTCGGAAGTTTTATGCTTGTGTTCGGAACTGGAACATATACAGTACCAGTGGCGGGCCGTTTTTCAATCCCATGATTTTTTGAGGGTCAAGGCCGATGCTGGGGTGGTCTGGTGTATACTTCTTTACCCGTTTTCCCGGGGAGACAGCGAAGAACGTATACACCAGGATCCCGTATACGCCAGAATCCGCGTTCCTGAGCGAATTTCAGTGCAGGGCCGGAAAAAACGTCGGTGTATAGAGTTCGGTTCCCTATGTGTATTCGTGTTGCTTCTCAAAGGGGGGCGTCCAGGTACCCCCCCGGACTACGGGTACCTCCCCCCTGGACTACGGGCCCCCCCCCCCCCGGACTACTGGCCCCCCCCCGGACTACAGGTACCCACCCAGGACTACAGGTACCCTCAGAACTATTGATGGACACAGAGTATGCTTGTGTATTGGTGTTGCTTCTCAAAGGGGGGCCGTCAGGGAAACGGGGGGTGCATTTTGCTGCACGCAGCCAAAAGTCGGCCCTGCCACTGGGCGCCTTCTCCTCTTCCTCCTCCTCCTCCCTTCCCTCCCTCCCCTCCCTCCCCTCCCTCCCTCCCTCCCTCCCTCCCTCCCTAGTCCTCCCCCTCCCTCCCTCCTCCTCCTCTCCCTCCTCCTCCTCCTCCTCTCCTCCTCCTCCTCCATCCTCCTCCTCCTCCTACTCCTCTCCCCCCGTCCCCTCCTCCTCCTCCTCCTCCTCCTCCTCCTCCTCCTCCTCTCCTCCTCCTCCTCGCTGTGGCGAACCGTGCGACGTGGCCTTCCGGGGTTCAGAGGCCACCGCACACACTGTCCGTCATTGCACCGCTCTGGGACCCCCAAGTTTCGCCCACCCCCCCGATGTGATCCGACCTTCAAGTCGGACGAAAGGGGGGGATCGGGAAATGGCAGGCCACGACATCTGCTGCGTGCAGCTGGTTTCTCTGCTCCGCCGCTGGAGGTTCAACGCTGGGAAACGGCTGCGTGAGCTGATTCGCCAAGCCCCCCTTTACTAAGCTCCCTTCGGGGGAACGTAAGACTCGCTGGAACTCGGGCTTGCCGGTGCTTCTCGAGAAGCGCGCCCTGAGCGTTGACGGTCCGGTCTCCCAGGAGAGGTCACGTCAGGTTTCAGCTTGGGTCTCGTGGTTTTCTTGATGGCCCCATGAGGCCAACCCGAGCCCCCAGAACCCGAGTCTTACGTCTTTCTGAGCCTCCCAGATGGGGTCGGTGTAGATGGGGTCGGAGACGGCATCGTCGATGCGTCGGCGATGCGGCCCGATGCGGAGCCCGACTTTGTCCACGCCGACGCCGCCGATGCATCGCCGACGACGCCGATGCATCGGCGATGCATCGGCGATGCATCGGCGATGCGGCGCGATCCTCCGACCCCGTCTGTTCGGCCCCCACCTGGGACTCTGGCCTCCCCGAATCTGTTTCGTCCGGCCTGTGACCCGCGAGGCGCGCGGCAGCGGCGCTCGCCGCCCTGGCCACAGCGGTGGTGGCGCCGCTGGGCTTCACCGCCGCGCCGCGGCAGCAGCGCCCGGCGGGGCTCGCGCGGGCGCCGCCGGCGGTGGCCTCCTCGAGCCTGCGCCCAGTGGCGGCTGCGAGCCCGCGCGACGGGACGAGGTCTGCGGTGGGCGCAACTTTTGCGCACTGCGGCTGCTCCTTCTCCTCCTCCTCCTCCTCCTCCTCCTTCCCCTCCATCTCCTCTCATCCTCCTCCTCCTCTCCTCCTCATCCTCTCCTCGTCTCCTCCTCTCCTCCTCTTCTCCTCCTCCCCCTCTCCTCATCCGCCTCTCCTCCTTCCCCCCCCCGCGCTGCGGCTGCTGGCCCCACCCTTGGGTGCGTCGTGATGCCGCCCGCGACTGCTGCCAGATTCTGCCCTTCAGCCCGGCCGCCCCCGCGCGCCCCCCCGCGGCCCCTCCGCGCGGGAGTGCCCCCGCGTCCCGTTGCTCTCCTACGCGGCCGCCCTCTCTTCCCTCCCTTTCCCTTCTTGCATGCGGGCAAATCAGCAGCTCCGCGCGAGCGGATTGCCTTTGCCGTGCCGCGACGGAGAAGTGTGTCCGTCTCATCTCGGGCACCGGAGGAGGAGGAGGAGGAGGAGGAGGAGGAGGAGGCGGAGGCAGAGGCGGAGGAGGAGCCTCACATATCGATCCAGCCTGAAGCACACATGCAGTCGAGAGGTGGGGTCTGGGCTCCAGTCGTGATTTCTTCCACGGGGTTGCGTCTCCTCTCGCGCCGTCGGAGCTCGGGGTCGCTCTCGCCGTGCCGGGCCTCCTCTCGGGGGGCAGCGCCTCGGTGCCGGGGCCCCTCCCTCGCTCTCCGCCGTTCCAGGCCCCCCAGAGGGGGTGAGCACACCGGTGCCGATGCCCCCTGATTTTGATCGTTCTCGCCGTGCTGGGCTTCCGGTGGGGCCCTCGTCGCCACGGCGGTGAGATGTCCGGGGCTTGTCGGCATGTCGTTTTGGTTTCCCCCGCAGGGTGTCGATGGGCCCCCGCTTCCAGGGCATCAGCTCCCCCATGAGACAGGACAAGCTGGAGGCAAAGATGGGATTGTACCAGTACGAGTTTGAGGAGGACGGCGGGATGTATGACATTATCAAGTACCCTCTGCTTACGGAGAAGGCCTGCATGCTGATGGAAGAGTATAACACCTACACCTTTCTCGTCGACCGCCGCGCCAACAAGCCACAGATCCGAGCTGCAGTGGAGACCGTCTTCGGCGTGAAGGTGAAGAAGTGCAACACGCTGATCCCCATGGCCAAGTTCACCAGGGAGTTCGGCAGGAAGATCGGGAGGAAGTCGGTGTACAAGAAGGCGCATTGATGATGACGATGACGATGACGGTCACGATGGCAATGACGATGACGATGACGATGACAACGACGATGACGATGCTTGCTGAAGGCGTACTGCGAGTTGGAGGAGGGCTACTCCATTGACCTCTTCCCCGACGACCCGGAGACGGCCTGAGCGACGCGCCTGGGGTTCTCTCGGGCGACGTGCGCCCTCGTGCCCGCGTGCTCCTGCAGCACTTCTGCAGTGCTCGCTCCTCACGGGAAACTCGAGGGACACACCTCCAATCGGAGGATGGACGCCCCCCCATCGTGTATCCCCGAGTTGGGGCCCAACCTTCCAGTCCATTCGAAGACCCCACGAAGTCGGCGATAGGGGCCGACATCTCCCCCGTTGGTCGAACTTCCAGTCCTTTCCCCTCGCCTCGTCCCCGTCGCTTCCCTCACGGCTGATGCTACCGCCACAGCAGTCGTGGCAGGCATGGGTGCCCGTTCCTGCACCACTTGCGTTGTTGAGGACGATCAATGGAAAGGAAGCATGTTGCCAAATTATTTCCAGATGTCTAAAAATGTGTTAAGCATGGTTTAAACATAAAAAACAATTTTTAACACATGTTCGTAACATGTGTCCGACATTTTTAAACACATTTTTCAAATTCAATGATAGGACTGTCAGGGTGTCCATTGCCGTGACATCCATAACTTGCGCTTCCATGCGCAGACACGGCAGAATGCTTTCACTTCGTCTGCAGTCGTCATCTTCGTCATCGTCTGGGCCAGCTTTTCGTGGAGCACGTGGAATGACGGGCCGAGCTCGTGCGCACTGGGCATCTCGGCGGCCTGTGCAGATGCTTCGGGGAAGCCTGGGCCTCCTGCTGCTGCTCCTGCTGCTACGCAAGGCGTTCCAGACGGACCTGGCCCTTCAGCAATGGAGAAGCTGATTTCTCTTCTGCGGCGGAAGTGGTGGAAGGCCTGCGGAATTCGCCAGAACTGAAGGGAGGGAGGTTCCGCCGTCGGATGTCGGCGGAGGGTCACCGGAACCCGGTAGAAGCAACTACTGCGCCCCTAAGAGGTGTCAAGATGTTGGATTCAGGGTTTGCGGCGCGGGCCTTACCTTCCTTCCCGTCTTTTCCTCCATTTCATGTGTAGCCTTTTGGTTCAAAGCCAGCTGCCAGCCCATCTCTCTCTGGAAAACGTCTGGCTCCTAAATGACAAGTCCGATGGAACAGCCTCCCCCTCCGGGCAAAGACAGGGCATTTGGGAAGGTGGTCGAGGCTGCTGAGGAAGCCGTCACAAACGGTGGGCCGCTGCCGCCAGAGGTGTTGGGTGCACTGCTGGAAGACCCAATACATGTCTCGCGCGGCAAATTTGGCCAGGCCGTATATGAGCGTGTTGAGTTGCAATGGGAAAGCCTTGAGCCGGTGAGTATGCAAGTGCTAGATGACAGTGATGTTGTGGCCGCGCACGAGGTCACGCAGAGCTTTGTGCGACGCTTGTCATTTGGACGCCATCGTTGCTACAGGGTGCACAGATTTCTGCTACCTGCGCTAGACAGTTGGCCTGCGCTAGTTGGGAGCTCCATCAGACGCGAACAGGCTTCGGTTCCGGGCGATTACGTGCACGTGTCCAATGTGGGTGGTTTCCATTCGGTCCGGGATCTCTTCACGAGCGACCGCCATCCTGGCGCAGATGCGCTTATGAAGTGTATTGCAGGCTGCTTGCGACGAGTCGCTGTGGTGGATGCGGCTCTCGTCGAGGCGGCTGGCGAGACGCCACCTCCGTCGCCGCGGAGCTCGGAAGACTCTGGAATATGTGACATCCCAGATGGTTGGGTGAATGTGTCGAGGAGAGGAGCTCTGAACCATCTTCATCACCATGCAGATGCAGCCTTGGCGACCGTGTTCTATGCGCAGGTGCCCGGCGAGGGTGGCAGTTTATCAGACGCGCTTTCGGCGAGTCACCGCTGCCCCCCCTGGTGTGCTTCTGGGGCGTCTCGGGATCGAGGGAAGAGTCACGGGGACCATGACCAAGATGTCGCGGGTTCTTGTCGATGCCGATCTTCGTCATGGTCCATGCAGGCCGTGCCGAGTCGCGAGGATTGCCCACACATTGACGCTGACCAAGATCGATGCTGACCAAGATCGACACGGAATCTCCACGTTCAGTCTTGGTCATGGTCCCCGTGCTCTTCCCCTCCACGGGAGAACATTGTCGCCTCTTCGGACCTCTCTCGGGCTGGTCCTGGGGCCTCCTGGGCCCTTCTTGGCTCGGCAGCCTCCTCCGTGGACCGCCCCGTGGCTCTGTTGGGCACCTCTCGGGCAGTCTTCGGGACCACCTTGGGACCCTCCTGGCGCACTCCGGGGCGAGTTTTCGGTTCTCTGTTGGTCGTCTTGGTGTTTTATTGGGCCGTCTTGGGCACCTCTTGGTCGTGTTGGGGGCCTCTTGAGGCCATCTTGGGCATTCGGAGGCTCTAGTTGACCGTCTTAGATCCCTCCTGGGGCTGTCCTGGGCTGGCTCAGGGCTACCTTTGGGCCCTCTTGGATTCCTTTTGCTCGCTCTTTGGGCTTCCCGAGGCCCCCTTGGCATCATCTGGAGTAGAAAAGCGTGGAAGCCAAGTGCGAACATTTGCGATTTCATGATTTTGGCTTTGATGAGATCTAATTCATGTCTTGGAGGCCTCAAGTCAAATTTCTGGGCCGTCGTTAGCCCCTCTTGGGCCGCGAGATTTTGTTTCGTGTGTGCGTGTGTGCGTTCCAGGATTTTGGCATCTAGGAGAGGCGGCGGGGAATGGGCGTCCCGCCGTAGAAGACACGTTCCGCCCCTTCCCGATGATTGTTCATTCGAGACGGCCCCAGCCTGCGGCTCATTCTGGCCGCGCCCTTCGAAGAGCTAGAATCCAGACACCACTACGCGTTTTATAGCATTTTCTGTGTGATCTTGGGCGATTGCGAGCTCTCTTTCGAGCCAGGTGGCCACTCTGGGACCACTTGAGAGCATATTCGGCAACGCGAGGAGTTTCTGGGGCCCCTGTCGACTGTCTTGGAGCCCTTGTTTGGGCCCTCCTCGGAGACCTTGTTTGGGCCCTCCTGGGGCCAGCTGGGGGCCGTGTGAAGGACCCCGCGGCCCATGCCGAGCGGGCGACGCACAACGGCATCTTCAAAAACTGCAGGTTTCCCCCCCGTGTCCCAAGTACGGGGTTCTCGCTTTTAGTGTGACGCCTCCGCCTTCTTCTTCCTTCCTGCTTCCTTCCCGCCTCAACTCTCCTATTCGCACTTGGCCCACCTCATGCTCCTACCCGTGCTCTGACTTATTGATACCAAGACGCACTCACACCCCGACCACTCGCACTCCGACCCACTAATAACCAGAATCTGTCATACTGAGACTCACTCACACCCACACCCACTCACACCTAGCTTTGCTCATACCCAGATTCACTTGCATTCAGGCTCACTCATAGCCAGACCACTCATACCCTTGTTCATCGCACTCGCCCGTTGTTAGATTCACGTGCACTCGTATCCATTCACATCGATTAGTATTAACTCGCCTTCAATCCCGTTCATCAACAATGACTCACATTCAGACTTACTCACTTTCAGATCACTTTGAGCCGAATGGGCACCGCGATCCAGAAGGCATGACAAGTGTCTCCCGAGAGGACGTCGACCACGGGTGTTTCATTGGCCCTTTCGCGCCCAGATTGCGGGGACCTCTCAGAAGATACGTCTGGTTTGGTCCAGTGGCCTTTCATACCTCCACGGCCACCACGATTCAGCAGGCATGGCATTGGGACCCTCCAAGCGGGTTTCGGTAAGAGGGGTGTTTCACGGGCCCGCTCGCGCCCAGATTGGGGGGACCTCCCGTGCGAAACGCCCGTTTTTGGCACAGCGGAGGGGCTTCTTGCAAGAATCCCAGGGTCACCGCCATGTCACAGGTATGGCATTTGGGCATCCCCAGGTGGTACTCACCATGACCGCCTAGTTGGCTGGGGGCCTCTTGGGCGGCGGAACGCCAGGGTCTCTTCTCAGAGCCTCATGCCCACTACGATGTAGCAGGCTTTTCAGTTAGGCCTCCCGGAGGGGGTGTTCACTTGGCCAGGGAGGATGAGGAGGAGGATGATGAGGAGGAGGCGGCGGAGGAGGAGGAGCATGCGGATGATTAGGGGCAGCAGTGAACGACACATATCGGCAGGTGGCAGAACGCGGCAGAACACAGCGCTCACATTCGGACTCACTCGTTTAGTCGTGCTCAGGCCCAGACTCCCTCGCGCTCAGCCGCTCGCAGAGGAACGCGCCAGAGCATGATGATGCGCATGTGGGGATCTCATCGTCGAATGTTTTCGTACCGAGTTTGGCCTCCAGGGGGCGGCGGCGGCGAGGGGGCCCAGGGGCACCCTCGGACCACATCCCGGGGCCTCTTGTGGCACCGGGGCGCCACCTGGCGGCCATGTTGGGGCCTCTGCGGATCGTCTGCTGGGCTCTTTGGGTTATCTCCTTGAGCTCGTTGGCAATCTTAGGGCAGTTTCATTGACTACATGTCATTTACTTGTATCTGCGTGTTTCTAGAGCTCCCCCCGCAGCCCTTTCGACCACGCATGTTTTAGTCGAAGATTTGCAGTTTCAACGTGGCGCTACACAGGCTGTGTGTTCATCGCTTGTC